GGGAAAGCCTGGTTTTAAGGTGAGAGAGGGGAGATTTAGGTGAGACATCAGGAAGAAATTCTTCACCATGAGGGCAGTGAGGCACTGGAATATGTTGCCCAGGGAGGTTGCCCCATACCTGGAGGTGATCAAGGCCAGGTTGGATGGGCCTTGAGCAACCTGGTCTGATGGGAGGTGTCCCTGCTCATAGCAGGGAGGTTGGAACCTGATGAGCTTTAAGGTCCCTTCCAACCTTCAGCGTTCTGTGATTCTGTGGTGTGGTGGGTGCTCCTCCTCTGCTGGAGGGGAACAAGCTGTCAAACTGTTCTGGAGAGAAACCGCCCCTTTAATTAGTCATCCCCATTGATCTGGCGCGGGGTGTTGCCGCAGCTGGGCGGGAGGAGTCACAGGTCCCTTCCTGAGCGCCGTGCTGGGCGTGGGCCCCTGGCCCCTGCCCCTCGCTGGTGGCACAGGGTGGGCCAGCAGTGCTCCTGCCCTCGGCAGGTATCTGAAAGGAACACCTAGTTCACCTGAGCGTTTCCTTTAACGTACAGGGTACGTGGGTCTTTGTTCTTCCTCTGCAGTTTTAGTAAGTACAGCAGCTCCAGCAGGCTGCAGTATCCCCCAACTCTGATTAATTGAGACTTGCATGTTGTAGTTTAATAAGGGGCTTCTGTACAATGTTGTAATTCTTAATTTATACCCATGCAATTAAGAACAGCCCCTTTCTTTAATTCCATAAATGTCAGTATAGACCAAACCATCGCATTTATGTGTGCTTGTAAGGTGTTTATCTCCTCTATGCTCCAGCATTTATTAGGCTACAGAGATGCTGCTTAACCCAGCCTTTAAAAGCTAAATCTGCTCCATCATGTGTGCAAATGAAAAGCAAAGCTGTGGTGGGAAGGTTGTGCTCCTGTGGGTGTCAGAGATGGGCTTGCTAATACCTGCATGAAGGGAACCGTGGACTCCAAAGTCTTAAATTTTGAGTCATAGAGGTGCATGGATTCTGACTTGGGCACTGCAGCAAGTTGGGGCAAAAAGAGTTATTAAGTGTTGTGTGCCATAGGGCAGAGTGTTTACAAACCAACATGCTGATACTGGCTTCTCAAAGGACTTGTGGATGTGCCACACGGTGTTTGACCTCAGTGGGACTACTCCCATATTTACAGTTAACATCTCTGCACAATTAGGCTCCTGACCCTGATTCAGAGCAGCCTGGAGTCATGATTTGAATGGATTTGGGACCTGAATTGTGAACATGGTGCTCACCTGGGGTGTTGGAGGGTGGGACAGGGACGCTGATGCCATGCAGAGCTGGTGGCTCTGGGCAGCTCGTGGTGGCATGAGGAGGGAGCTGGGCCCTGTGCTGCCCAAGAGCTAAAGCACTGCCCTTTGTGGGCTGTTCAAATTTATTAGGAAAAAATGTGCCAAGACTAAGGTTAAAACCAGCCTTGTTGTTTTCTTAGCCTTCATTGACTCCTCTTGTCTTACTGGGAATTTTATTCTTATCATGGATTTTATACTTATCTTTTTAGATTGCTCCTTCCCCTCATGTAACTATCATAAAGTTGAT